GTTAGAGTCGTGTTGGCAAATAGGTTGGGTAGCCGTTGGTAGTTAGACTCGTGGTTAGGGTCTCGTGGTGCGACCGTGTGTGAGGTTGTCAGTTTTGGCAATCGGTCGGGATTTTATATCCCAATATATTTGTAGAACGTGGAAACGAGAGATCTCAGATAAATTAAATATGCGAATTCTATATTAGTAGGATGTGAGGTATATATTGATATGGACCCATTGGTTGAGACCCGTGTTGGGAGCGCTTTCGTATTCGAGGGCAAGGTTATCGGCATCGGTAAATGGTCAGGGATTTTGCTTTCCATTATTAGTGAGATAATTCAAGGTCGGAGGGGTTTCGATTGGTTCAGATTTGCAGATTAGAGTCATTATGGATGTGGTTTGAATGGTTATATATGTCCGAAAGTTAGGCATGGTATAAGGTTTTCAAACTTTGGGTAGAATAGTATGATTTTCTCTTTGTTGGTTTTGGACGGCATGTTAAGTTTTTTTCTTCATCAAGTCGAGTGTTCTTCTTCAAAGATTAGGTTTCATTAGCAATACCAGAAGGTGGTCGTCTGTGTGAGATGATTTCTCAGTTCTATTTTGAATTCAGGAAAATTCAGTCGAGGTTGGTTGGTGTAGTTGTGTAAGTTGTAAGGAATGATTTTGGTGACGAAATCTAATTTAAGTGGGGGAGAGTTGTAACACTTGTTCTCTAGATTGGATCAGTGTAGGGCATAAAGGAGTCAAAGGCATGATTTTTGGTAAAAAAAAAAATCATGTGTCACAACGTGAATATAGGAAGGTCACGACGTGACGAACCAAAATGAGAATGCATGTTCGGAAGAATGTCACAACATGACAAGTATTAGGCCACGACGTGACAACCATCTGAAGAAAAAACCCTAATTTCTCGGGCTTTGGGCCCTATATAAGGAAAGTGTGAGCTAGGGTTGCTTACCCTTAGCCTCCCACGTCTTCCTTCCTAACCCTGATCATATCTAGCCTCCTTTGTTGAGCTTTTGAAGAATTTTGTAGTGTTCTTGACATTTTGAAGGAAAGGAAGCTCATTTGGTGTATTGTTTCATCTAGCCATTTTCATCATCATCAGCAAGCATCACTTTTGGACCATTATAAATGTCCAAGATTCAAGCTTTTTGGTTGCATGTTTCTAGATCTAAGTTCGTTGTCCCCTTTCTTTAGGTTGTGGGAGTTTGGAGGAATGGATCCCATAAAGTTGCCAACTTTATGGATCCTTACGGTCCTTTTAGTGTTATATGTTCTAGATCTATGGTTCTTTAGAGTTTTTGGTCTCATACTCAAGTTTGAGTTCTTTTCTTCATGATTTTGACCTAATTTGGAAAGGGACATGCATTGGACATGCATGTCCATAAAGCATTGATTTTTATGGTGTTTTGGGAGTAGGAAACGTTTCTGGAAATTATGGACTTGAGATCTCAAGGATTAAGTACTTAATGGTTGACTTTATGCCTTAAGTTGCCATTAAGGACCTATGTTTAAAAATCTTGGCTTATTGGGATGTATTAATGAATAAAGTTGGAAAATTTATCCATCAAGGCGTAGGGGAGAATCAGATATGATCTTTGGAGCTCATGGAATAGATTGAAAACAACCTAATCCATTAAGCTGTTTCGGCTCAGTTCCCACGATGTGACACCTAGCCTTCACGACGTGGCGATTGGGGAGCAAGTCGTCTATTTTTTCTTATTCTATCACGACGTGGCCAGTAGAAGGCTACGACATGGTGACTCTTTGAGGTTGACTTGGACATTTGACCCTGACCATTGACTTGTTGACCTGGGTTGACGTTTGGCCAAATTGCTAGTTATAGTGTATAGACTAAGGTTGGACCTTGTTTGATTCAATAGGTATGTTGTAGCACCATCTTCTCACTATACTTTTTAGGATGCTAGTTGTATTTGTGATACCTGCATGGAAGACCAGGTGGTGGCCCCTGACATATGTATGAAAGACCAGGTGGTGGCACCTGGAAATTGTATGTAAGACTAGATTCTGGCCACGACATTTATATGTATGATGCTAGTTGTATTTGTGATGCTTGCATTGAAGACCAGGAGGTGGCTCTTTGCACTTGTACGTAAGACCAGGATTTGGCTCCTGGTATGGCAAGAAAAGACAATGATTAGCTCATGGTTGATAGTGACAGTAAGACTATGGGTGGCTCATAGAATTCTCTATCCTATGTATGGTATGTGATATTTTGGGGAACTCACTAAGCTTTGTGCTAACGGTTTTTGTGGTTTAAACATTTTTAGGTACTTCCAGTTCCAAAGGGAAGGGCCCGTCTTGACTGCACAACATCTCCTGATGGCTTTTTCGCATTAATTGTTATTGTTTTACTCTGATGTTTGAAAATACATTTTACTCTAATTGGTTTTGGAAAAAAAAATGGTTTTATGAATTTAATGGTTTAAAAATGAAAATTTTGTTAATGTTTTTGGGACGTTACGCCATGAGTGAATTAAAAGAAGAAGAATGATTAAGGATCCATGAGGGATCAAGAAATGGGAGTAAATTCAGATTAATGTACCATGTAATGTTAGTGGGATGTTGTTTCCCTTAGAATATAGACAAGGTTGCAGTATGATATGGGACCGTAAGTTTTAGATGATAATAGAATGCTGACACGTTAGAGTGAGAGTAAAGAGATTAAGAGTGAGGAAAGTATGAGACATACATGCTAAGAGTAAGAGATGTGTGAAGAGTACAGTAAAAATATGTGAAGAGCATGCATAGAGTATGAGAAGAGGTAAGAGTAAGGGACAAGAAAGGAATGCAGAAAGAAGAGTATGAAAGAGATAAAGAAAGAGAATATAGAGTATGGGGCATATTAGATGAGAAGGCATGAGAAAAGAGTAAAAGAGATATATGGAAAGAGAATGAAAAACAGTGTATGTTATGAGAAGAAGAGATTAGATTGCAGAGTATGAGAAAGAAAAGAGAAGAATGGTAGAGTATGGAAAGATTAGAAGAAGAGTAGACTAACATGAAAACAGAATATAATACAACTCCTTAGACCTGTGGTATGATGTAGTAGATGTTTTTCCTGTTTTGCAGGATCAGACAGCATACGTGAGAAGATAGGAACACAAGGACTTAGACTAGGTTGTTACTTTAGTTGTATTTCCTTGTGGTTCTTTTATGTGAGATTTTATTGTAATCTCAAATGTAACCTGGGATGTAAAATGTTTTATTTTTATGATTTAATAGAATTTCGTAAATTTTAGAAATAACTCTGATAATCCCTAGAATAAATAGACAATTAGATGCTGGAAAATTTGGGCCATTACAATTGGTATCATAGTCATAGTTTAAGTGAATTAGGTTTGGTATTTCCACACCTAAAACTTAAATTGTAGGAGATAAAAGAGACCCAGATAGTATGAGTTGGTTTTGTGCTAAACAAAGTTATGAGATGTTAGGTACACGACTATAGATATGTGCAGATAAAGAAAAGAACTCGAGAGTATGAGTTTAGTAGATTGACCAACCAAGAAGGTTTGGGTCTAGTATGTTGAGATGAAAGAAGGAAAGGTCATTTTGTGAAATGACACAAGAATAGACTCTCTAGTTAAAGAGATGCCAAAAGTATGTAGAAAGAATGATACTGTATAGATAGAGTGTTTGTCCTTAAAGAGAAGAGAAGAATTAGAGAGTGAAAGAGAGTGAAAGGAGACTTAGAGATAATGGAGACAAATAGAGAGACTGGAAGATACAGTGAAAGAGTGGCAAAAAAGGGTACAAATAGAGTACAGAGAGTAAGAGGGTATGGTATGCCTAGAGAAAGTACACAAAGATAGAAAAAGTATATCTTAGAAAGACTTGAGGCTCAAAGAAGTGTACTGATGAGTACAAGAGTAGATTGGCATTGCTTGCGAGCAAGTAGCCATGTAGATAAGAAGTCCATTATTACACAGAAAGTGTATGAGATATGTTGAGTAGAGTTTGCACCATGTTGTTCGATGCTATGGTGATAACATTGACTAGAGATGGTATAGAAGAGAAAATAGATAGATGTGTAGATAGAGGATAAGAGGTGCAACATGAGTCATGATCGACACTTAAGAGGAAGTTAGTAAGAATGTTCTATTGTTAATATGTTAAGAGCTAAGGAACACGAGAAAATGAGTCAAGACTTCTATGGAAGTAAGACATAGAGTATGCAAAGTAAGTGGACATCTTGGTAATGTGTCCATAAAAGAGAAAGAAAAGGAGATTTAGCTTCTAGGGTGAGAAGAGATAGACCCGTGAAATTATGTGGATAGTAGTGAGAGTAATAAAAGTTTTTTTTCCTAAATAATCCACACGGACTCACGTCAGCGCCACATAGATAAATGTGTGATAAAATTGTCTATGTGACATGCCACATAAACAAACAAACCTACAAACATGCTACAACATGTCTCAATAACTACATGGTGACAAAAATTAGAAGTTTAAGCACGTAATTAACATGATCAGAACTTTGGTGGCTAAATGAGGACAATTTTGAGACTTACATGGTCAAAAGAGTCAATAGTACTTTAAATAGAATAATATACACTAACGTGACGTTTGGTTTCTTTACTTATTATTCCGTTAATAAATCTCACAAATTTCAACGGTTTCTTTACCTATTATTCCGTTTCTTTACCTATTATTCCGTTAATAAATCGCACAAATTTCAACGGTTTCTTTACCTATTATTCCGTTAGTAAATCTCACAAATTTCGGGCAGATTGTTTTTAGACAATTGTTAGATAGTCAAATTTATCGAATACTGAAATAAACATTTATTTAATTAAATAAACATTTATTTAATTACTACAACTTCAATAACAAAAACACATTAAACAGTAACACCTTATGTCATTGTTAAATGTATATATATTCTCGTTATTTCATATCAGAACATACATCCAATGATCCAAACATATATTATGATAAAGAAATTTAAAAAACAAGTTCTATTTTTCTTTTAAACAAGATTCACTAGCCACCTTCTCTTTTTCCTCACCCCTCTATATATATTCATCGCTCTTCTGCCACTTGGTGCAACTTCATGTTCTTCATATGCTTCCAATAACAAATCCTAAGAAAGTTCAACAATGGAGTTCCACCACCACCATACCCATGGATTCTTGGAAGAAATATTAGATTCAAACATTCCCTTTGGAATCAATGACATTGATGATCAATTTGACCAAAATGCCCTCTTCTCTACACCTACCACTTTTCTTGAAAGCTCACCTCTTTTCATCACCTCTCAAACCTCTTGTTCTACTAAAGACTTTTCACTGCCCTTCATCTTTGATTCACAAACCCTAAATTGTTCTTCATTTGGTCAACATTTCATCCACCCTTTTGTTGACCATGACCAGTCATCTGCTGGCCTTCATGACGACACTACCAATATCAAGCTTGAATCTTCACCATTGATTCATCAAGATTACTATTCTGTGTTTTCAATGCTGGATGATGTAGAAAACTGTCATTTCCTACACGATGTGGGTAATCGGGTCGATAACCTGGAAATGCGGGACCCGAATGTTGCTATGGGTGAGCCCGAACCCCAGAGACGACACGAGTTCAACATGGGGAAGAATAGTAAAAACTGTAAAGTTGAGGGACAACCTTCGAAAAATTTAATGGCGGAGAGAAGGAGGAGGAAAAGATTGAACGATAGACTCTCCATGCTTCGATCGATTGTACCAAAGATCAGCAAGGTGCAACTCTTGATATATATTTTTTATATTTATTTCAATTTCCGTTTTGGCTTACAAATATTATTTTTAAATATATAAAAAATATCTTTTTAACAAATAAATTACGATATATAAATTTAGGGGGTTGTTCATTTATTTATTTATTTATTTTTTCCATTAACTCTTGTATGTAAAATGTTATATATGAAGTCTATTTTTTTTTTCTGTAACCAAATAAACCGTCTTTAATAAATTACAAATTTAAGAAAAAATTCATAATATGTATCGATTTTAATAATATTAATTCATTTTAATACCAGAGAAACTTGGAGTAAAAAAAATTATGTAAATAGCCAATGTATTGATACATTAAAACCATTATTTTTTGAATTATACATTAAGTCATTTTGTCCTGACTAAATAAATAAATAAACAGTCATTCTATCAGGCTGGACGGTATGGGTGACGGAAAAAATGAGAGAACTTTTCCCTCTCACCTGAACATCATCCCTTGACTGAGGGAAAGGTGGTGAGGCAAGGAGGTGAGGGATCCCATTCCCTCACTTTCTCTTCTATTTCTATTGGCCAACTTTTTTTTTATCTTTTTTAATACTTATTAAATTAATACATACTAAAAGTTATAGAAAAATATATCAAAACTCATGGTTTTTAATTCCCTACAAAATGAATATAATATTTATAGGAAATATATTTTTTTAAAAAAATAATGAGTGAAGTTTCCCTTAAGTTTAGGTGAAGGAAAAGAAAATAAGGGGAAAGGGTGATGTGGCCCACAAAAGTGAGGGAAACTCCTCACCCATGCCCTCCGGTCTTAGGAGTAAATAAACCATGGCGGATGTTATGGAGTTTTAGAAATTCTATAATTTTTGGCGATAAAAGTAAAAGAAAGGAGACCATTAATGTGACTCTTATAGACATGTATTTAACTCTTATAGACATGTATTTAACTATTTTTTGTGGGTTAGCACTGAAATCATAAACTTGCTATTGATTAGGTCTCTGTCACAAAAAAGATGTGTTTTTTTTTAATGTTTTATTACAATGTTAGAAACAAATAATATCAAGGTGCTAAATAAATAACGTAAGCCGTGAATTGACGGTAATGTCAAACCTTAAACTTTTCTAAGCCTTGGCGAGCCACGTCATTTGTAAGGCAGCAATTTTGTATATAATTAATATTTTTATATATTTTTTCAACTATTATTCATTTTTATAGATATATATGAGTTAAGGCAGCGTTTTGGTAAAGTCTGACGTCAGTTACAAGCCTTAGAGCCATGACGAACTTTTTAGAACCTTAAATAATATACTCAAAGAAGATCATTAAAAAAAATTAATCTAACATGTTGTATTTCGTATTTGAAGTAGAGAGTTCAAATTCCATCTTAGACATAGATTGCATCAGTAGTAGTTTAATAAGTAATAGATTAGATTTTTTTTCATTCCAGAAAAAAAAAACAAAAACAAAACAAACTAAAAGTAGATCACATCTTACAAAATGTTTTTGTTATGGATTTTTATCATTTCAATTTAAAAATCATTTTATCACTGGTAATTTCATTATTTCTATTTACGGTCTTTTAAGGTTAATCTTTCATCCTTTACAATCCAAAAGGAATAGACGTTTGATTAAACATTTGATTTAAATACAACGAACTTAAATGTCTTTATCAATTAATGCAACTGAATTGATTTACCAATTGTTTAAGCCAATAATCTTTTTTTCCTAATAATATAAAACATGATTGCATCACCAACTTGATGAATGCGATTGCAATTTTGTTTTTTATTTTATAAATTTGAAATGTATTTTAGAGTAGATCCTGCCAGATGTTGCTTTTTCAATCTGTACATCATGCCTTAAAGCTTATAATATACGTTGAATTTGCGAATTTTGATTGTTATAATCTAATTTTATTCTTACTTTTTGAATTAAAAAGATGGATAGAACATCAATACTTGGAGACACAATTGACTACATGAAGGAATTGATTGACAAAATCAATCATATGCAAGAAGAAATGGATATTTCCTCCGATCAATTAAATTTAATGACTACAAAGCCTAAAGAAATATATATCAGAAATTCACCAAAGGTATGTACGATTTTTGTTTAATTATCTTATATTTTATAAATAGGAGAAATTTTTTTTTTCTGGATTAATAACTCTTTAATATGATTATTTTCTATTTTAGTTTGATGTGGATCGGAGAAATACAGATACACATGTTCAAGTATGTTGTACAAGTAAACCCGAGCTATTGATATCGACAATAACAACACTTGAAGCTTTGGGCCTCGAGATTCATCAGTGTGTTATAAGCTGCTTCAATGATTTCGCAATGCATGCTTCCTGCTCTGAGGTATAACGTTTTCTTAGGTTTAGAATCACAAATAGGCAACAAACTATTTTTTTTATATAAAATATCATTGTTTTAAAAATTGTGCGATTAGAAGGTAAACAGCTTAAGCAATTGAAACTTTTTGTTCGCAAAATGCCAATATTTTAATTGTATTTAGTAAAAAAAAAACAAATTGCATACCTATTTAAACCGATAATATTTTTGTAAAAAATAGATAATTTGTTACATATGTATGATATTAACCCATTTATTTTATTAGTCATATTTTTTGCTAAAAATATTATAGATAATCAACTAATATTGTAGATTTTGTATTTATTTTAGGCATCAATTTTTTTACCTATAAAATAAAATCTAAAATACCTGGTAATGATGGAAAAAAGATCGAACTTTTGTAATTTTTATAAGACATGCTCGTTTTCTTCTGCTTTTCTATTCCTATTTAACTATGTTTTTACATGGTTGGTGGTTTTAAATTACAGGAAATGGAGCAAAGAGTAATTATAAATTCAGAGGATATAAAGCAAGCTTTATTTAGAAACGCAGGATATGGAGGAAAGTGTCTCTAAAGATATTATATATGACCCTTCATTCTTTTCACTACGTTGATTATTTATCTTTTCGGATATTAAAAAATAAAAAGATTCATAGACTTTAAAATTGTAATTTATGTGATAATTATTGAAGGATAAAACTGTAATTTTGTTAGGATAGAGAGGCTGTAGCTGGATATCTTGTGATATGGTTTTTGTCATTTATAATAAAGTTACCTACCTTTTTTACCCTTTTCCTGTTTGCCATATACCTTTTGTTACATGTGATTCCAATTGATTAAATCGTAAAATTAGATCGCCTTTCAACTGGGCTATGAGTTTCTTTTGAAAAATAGTAATATTCTTTATGAATAGGGTTACATGTACGGATGCAAAAGAGATCGATATGGTAAACAATGTTCTAGTTTTAAGTTTTTACGAGCTGAGTCACATTGTTTATATATATATATATATATATATATATATATATATATATATATATATATATATATATATATATTTCTTGAAATCATTTTTTTGTTATGTCAATATGGCTATAACAAACTAATATCCAAAGAATTAATTTCTTGAAATCATTTTTTTGTTATTTCTTTATGATTTCTTCTACAATTTCTTTCAAAATTAATAGTTATACTTCCAAAAATGCACAACCTTAACAAACATTCATCAGATTTTTAAGAACTAGATTATTTTTTTTCCTGGTGATATCCACCATTTTCACCACCATCGACGGCGGATTTCCTGTGGAGAAAACCACCGTCAGCTAGCACTATCGTCTGACCTACTACCGCCGCTATCAGGTCGTCGGATTTAAAGCCTCCTGATGTATCTGAACCTCCGATATGTCGTGAACTACGAGATCTATCAGATCGTATGATTTATTTAGATTAGATCTAGATCTGGTCGGATTTTCACCGGGATCATCCAGATCCGTCATCAACGAGCACTGACGCCTTCATCGCACCATAACCACAACCTTCCGGTACCACAAACGACGATCGCCACCATCTGCAATCATTCCAGATCTGCATAGGTCTGGTCAGATCTGCTTAGATCTGACATTTAGATGCGATTTCGTTAAACTTTTGTTTTTCGGCGAGCTTCTTCGCCTCAGATCGTTGGGAGAGTCACTAACCGTTATCATCATCTCATATCTAAAGCCAAATACATACCGATTTCTCAGATTTTGCTAGATCTGTTATGTCTGGTGTATTTTCAAACATAAATCTGATGTTTACAAAGCATTTCATTGTGGCCAGCTGTGATTCCACCATCGCATCATATCTATTCCACAATCTTAGACCTGTAAAGCACTTCAGATCTGAAAACAATGTGCGCAAATGTGTTTGATGAAATGTCTAAACTAGATCTGTAAGTTTTTATATTATAACACCATATCTTCATCAAATATGTTGTGTACGATGCATTTCATGTATGGATCAGGTGTATTTGGTGCATTTCATGTTGGCTTGCATCAGATCTAATTTTTGAAGATAAATCTTCAAACAAAATCAGGTATGTCGATTTTTATAGATAAATCTCCTTTACGTTTTGTTGTCTACTTGTTTTTCTACTTGCATCTGTTGTAGATCTCTATGATATAGTTTTTTTGTTTGTTTTTTTCTGTTAAAGTGTAAATTTGATGTTTTAATCTCTCATTTGTCGTATAATTTTGTTAATCTTAGTTTTAACTGCTATTAAGTTGTGAATATATAATTTTTTTTGAATTAAAATTTGAATTTATTATACTAATTTATGAATTTTCTATATTAATTTGTGTATTAATTGTAATAAGTGTTTTAAGTTGATAATATGGATGTGAATACTACTTTTTGTGTATTAAAATGTGAATTTAGTGTATTAAGTTGTGATTTTTGTGTTTTAAACTCTGCATTGATTGTATTAAACTTTGAATTTTCTTTTTAAACTACGAATTGACTGCATTAAGCTGTGAATTTTTTGTTTGAATTGTAATTGACTAGATTAAGCTGTGAATTATGTGTATGAAACTATGAAGTTACTTGTATTAAGCTATGAATTTTGTGTATAAACTTTAAATTGACTATATAAAGAGTGTTAAGTTGAAAATATGATTGTGGATGCATACTTTTTGTGTATTAAACTTTGAATTTTGTGTACTAAACTGTGATTTTTGTGTTTTAAACTGTGAATTGACTGCATTAAACTATGAATTTTCTTCTTAGACTATGAATTGACCATATTAAGCTGTGAATTTTGTGTATTAAATTATTAATTGATTGTATTAAGCTGTGAATAAATTGACATTAAGCTGTGATTATTTTATAATTTTTTTTTTTGCTTTTGAAATAATGTAAAATTTATTCACGGCTTAATATATTAAATTCACAATTTAAAATATAAATGATTTATGTATAAATTTTTTTGTTAATTTTCTTCTGAATATATTTATTTATTGTGTTGTATAAGTATGTAAGAATACATTAGTTTTAATAATAGTTTTGCATGAAATTCAAAATGAGTGGAATAAATGGTTTTATTAGACTGTGAATGTAGTATTTAAGTTATTAATGCATGACTTTATTTATAGATCTGTATTAAGCTGTGAATGAATTCGCATTAAGCTGTGATTATTTTATAATTTTTTTGTTTGCTTTTGAAATAATGTAAATTTTATTCACAGCTTAATATATAAAATTCATAATTTAAAATATGATTGATTTATGCATAAATTTTTTTTGTTAATTTTCTTCTGAATATATTTATTTTTTGTGTTGTATAAGTATGTAAGAATACATTAGTTTTAATAATAGTTTGCATTAAATTCAAAACGAGTGAAATAAATGGTTTTATTAGAATGCGAATGTAGTATTTAAGTTATTAATGCATGACTTTATTTACAGATCTGATTTAGAAGAAAATAATGGTTGCGATGCTGGTATAGGTGATTGGTGGCAGCGTGTGGTGGTGGTAGTAATAGAGTTTGAATGTTTTATTTCTTTTAGTTTGTGAATTATTGTAAAATGGTTTGTATTAAGTTGTGATTTTTGTGAAGTAAACTATAAATGGACTGGATAAACTTGTAGTTTATATAAGTTTTGTGCTCAAATATGAGAGCATATAAGAATGAAAATATTATACTGCAAAAATTACAATTCTGCCCTTTTTGTATCAAAAAGAGAAAAAAATAGGTTTTTCACATGTTTAATAAGAATATCATGTAAATATTTACTAACTAATGGGGGTTCTTAGGGTTCTTACTCTTTTGTGGTTCTCATTTGAATCACTCCCTATATATATATATATATATATATATATATATATATATATATATATATATATATATATATATATATATATATATATATATATACTAGTAGCGTACCCGCGCGATGCAGCGATGCCAGATAGTTCCTTTCAGCAGATAGTTTTCATGCGGCGATTAGTATCCTTTTCTTGTTAGATAGTCATTTCAGCCTTTTGGCGGATTGTTTTTAGTTTGATAGTTCCATTTGCTGAATAGTTTCTAGTTAGATATGTAGATGCAGGGGCGGAATAGTTTCATATTCGGTATTATCTATTGCACTGGTTTTATTTTACCATTATTTTGTAAAGGAGGTGCACAAAGTGTTTGTGAAAAAAAATATATAGATACTTATTATGTTTTAGGAAACAGACGATGCATTTGCTTTCTTCTAATTATATTGTGTTAGAAATAAAATTACATTGCTTTTTTCGGTTGAAAATAAAAATGCACTATTTTTTGTGAATGATAAAATCATTTTCATGATTAAGTTGACTTCCATTTCTATGTTGTTCCAAAAAAAAAAGTTGAGTTCCATTTCCATTATTAGTTTCATTTCCATTTCCATGATTTGGTTCCACCACTTTTCTTCTTATCCTGACCAAAACAAACATTTGGACTAAGTCCAAGTGTTTGGTATCCATTGTTGTGTCCTTAGTGCTTAGATCTAGATTTTTTGTTCATATGGAGATTGAAAGGTTACATTCATATCGCTATTTAGAGTAAACTACATGTTTGGTACATGAACGGTTCCCTTTAACAGTAGTGGAATAAAGGGCCCAAAATTGTTATAAAAGTGTAGTTTTATGGACCATCAAGCTGAAATTAATCTTCCTAGCTAAATGTGTTGTTAATTTCAGCAAACCAGAGGGACCAAACATGTAATACACAAATGCATAGTTTTATGGACCTTCAATCATGAAATTAATCTTGCGGGCTAAATATGTTAATTTCAGCAAACCAAAAGGGCCAAACATGTAATAAAAAATGGCATTTATATACATGATGCATTTGAAACTATAACTTCGTATGCAATTAAATCAAAAGAAATTTTGAGTCATTTTTATGTTAACATTTTGATACTTTATGACATAATGTTTTCTTATATTTATAAAAGAGAAAACCATTAAAAAACAAATGATTTAGAACAACCATGTAATAGTAATACCACCATTAAATTGGAAATAGAAATGAAATATTGTATAAAACAACCATGTAATACCATCATTTAACGTTAATGAAAATATGAGATATAAACGTGACCTCATTCATGAAAACCAATACCAAAGGCTAGAAAACAATTGCAAGTAGACATTGACTGATTACCTTTGTGCTTACATAACAATAGATAAATAAGAAGCAATACCATTACCAGTATCATTTTTCACAACAAAAAGTCTTTAATAAAAATATATATTTGTTTAAATATAAATATAGTGTTTAAGATTCACAACTATGAACTTATGGTTAAAGGCTTAATCGTTTAGAATTTAGAGTTTAGATACAAGTACAAAATGCAAGTACAAAAGTCTTTAATAACGTTTAGAATGACATCTAGTACACAATCAGTAACATGGGGGGTACAAGTACAAAATGAAAGGCTTACTAGTTACAATCTAAAAAAATAATAATAATATTTTGGGGGATGCAGAAGTTAGTCAAGGTATTCCCACTGCAACCTTTACATCCACCATTGCCCTTGAAATAGCAGTTTCTTGAATATCAATTGTGCATCTGCTAAAAAGAAACATACACTTAGGTACATACCCATCATGAAATAGCAAAATACTTTTGTTTATTTAACTACATTACCTCTTATTCCATTTGCAAGGTCTATAGTTTTACTAAAAGTAGAGCATGAAAGATGAACACTTAGGTACATACCCATCATGAAATAGCAAAATACTTTTGTTTATTTAACTACATTACCTCTTATTCCATTTGCAAGGTCTATAGTTTTACTAAAAGTAGAGCATAAAAGATGAACACCATAATCAAGTAAATATATCCAAAAATATAATAAAACACACCATTTATACATGAAAATAGACATAAAGTAAACATACAAATAAAAATTAAGACTGTTTTTAATATCATCTTATTTTCTTTATTAAAAAATTTTATCATTGTTTGTTCAAAAATATAAATTCCTTTTACAAGGATAACCCATGGATCAGTGAAAATAGTTTAATGCATATGGATCATAGCACATACCATTAATTATAGGACACTTGAAATTTTAAGTACAATCTGTAAAATAATATCATCAACGTATATGACTTTCTAGAACTTTAAGGTCATTTATAAGTCACTTGAAATTTCACCCTATGTAACTTAATTTGAGTTCACAAACTCTTCAAAAATGAGGTGATTGGTTTGTTGCAAAGTTTTACAGATAAATACATGTGAATCATATGCGATTTACGTGTGAATCACATGTAATTCATATGTGAATTACATGTGATTTACATGTGAATCACGTGTAAATGTGATTTACATGTGAATCATATGTGACCAACTTGTGATTTACATGTGAATTACAGGTTATTCATATGTGAATTACATGTAATTTACATGTTAATCACGTGTAATTGTGATTTACATGTGAATCATATGTGATCAACTTATAATTTACATGATTCCCTCTGTTATGTAAAATATAGTTGTTCTCTATGATAATAGATTTCATAAAAAGTAACTAAGGACAAGAGTTAGATTACCTGTTGTTCAGCTTCTTTTTCACTGATGGAACTTTGGATCACCTTTTCAGTCAAACCTATAAACAACCATGACATGTTTAGGGTTTTGTTACACAAGACTGAAGAGCTTTGTAGGGCTATGTTAGATGATAAGGATGGGAAGGGTAATCACGTCTTTTGCAATGTATATCCTTCATTTTAGATGGTTAATTATGAACTAAAAGGTACTTACCACTTGCAGCATGATGATCTTGACACCATTCGCCCATCTTTTCAAGACACTCTTTTGTTTGATGTATAACCAAGTCAGGACCCTGAACATAAAAATAAATCATTTTAGGTCCTGTGGAAACTAATATATTGTCTGTTACAACAATAAAGTACACAAACTAAGCAAGAAAATAACAAAAAGTTAGTAACAATATTATCATGATAAAAGCCACCTGTATCAATAATCAGAAACTCCCAACTTACCTCTACAGATTTGGTAAGCTTCCCATCTGTGATCACACAAGCAATCTCCAGTATTCTATCTACTTCAATATTCAATCCTACACATACACCAACTTACTTGAATGAATATTGAGTAATCAACAAGAACACTTTTTTCAATTATGTACATTAAAAAACTCAAAACTAAATGACTGATACCTACCTGTCATTTCCAAGTCAATCCACACAAGAGGCAACCTATATTCTCCTTCTAACATGTCTAGGGTATGACGAGTGCCTTTATCATTCTTAATTAGGGTTGCGTCTTGAAGACTATCAATTTCTTTATCATGGTTACCTGCATCAGTACCAATAACTTGTATAAATAAGTAACAATATTTTTGGCATTTTATCTTACTAAATTCAAACAAAACTATTAATGAATTATAAGGTGATAGTTCTGTTGGATTAGTGTCTAAGTCCATAACTATTTTGGTATGTACTTGACCTGATTATGAGCATGGTCCTTTTGGGTTGCCTTCACCATAGCAATATGTAGGATGAATTAAGGATAGAAAGGTTTAATTATGATTTATTAATATATTATGAGAATAATATATTAAAGGAGAAATCATATTGTTTAATTAATATTAGTCAAGAATTAATAAAGAATTAATTTTGTGACTAAAAGAGATTAATTAAACTTAAGGGACTTATTGTGTAATTATAAGATAATTACATAATTGGGCTATGGATCACCTTGGAATAATAGGTTGGACGAATTCTATGGGGAAGCCCCGTTAGAAATCGTCCAAGGCATGTTCCAGAAGGGGTCCATGGGCTGCTTAGAGCTTAAGCAGTCAAATTAGGGTTTCCTTGTTAGATAACCCTAATTACCTACCTATTTAAGGAGCCCCTAAGCCCCAAAAACGTGGACAACTAATCCTTTAGGGTTTCCAGCCGTTTTTGATGCCTCCTCTTTCCTCCCTCTTCATCCAAGTTGCTTAGTGGTGTTTGTGACTCCATTAGAGGTGCAACGCTTGAGGCACTAAGTTTTCTGAAGCCAAGGATTGATTGTTATTGCTATATAACAATCAAAGGTAAGATCTAAACCCCTAATTTCAGTTATAGTTTATTGGATCTAGGGTTTATGGCTTTGGATTATCAATTGCATGTTCATTAGACAAACTAGATCCAAAGCTATTAGGGTTTGCATGTACACCATAGGGTTGATGTATTGCTCGAAACCCATCAGTGGTATCAGATACTAAGGCTGTTTGTTTGATGTATTTGATGCTATAGTTGATTATTCATGCTTAAAATTGAAATTTTTTTGGTTTCTAGGGGCTGGACTCGCCGAGTCCATGGCTGAACTCGTCGAGTCCAAGCTAGACTCGACGAGTCAGAGTCGCAGATGGAGCAGATTTCGGGATTTTGACCTGTTTTGACTGTGGATAATTGCCTAAAACGTTTTTTATTAATAAAATCTGATTTTTATCAATATTTGGAGATTATCCTTGCCAAAATAGAAGATAATTGTCAAAATTTAGATAATCTTTTGTTTTATTAGATAAAGATTGATTATTTGTAATTTAGATTTGAATTATCTTGTGAAAAAGTTTCAATTTTCCCCTTTAGGTTTTATAGTTTAAATTTGAACTTAAAAGTTTTGTTTTTGAAACTTGAATAGTTGAACCCTAATGTTTTGAAAGGTTTCAAAACTTGTCCTCAAGTTTTGGAATTTAAATTTTTTGATTAAAAGTTAATTTTTGAAATATTTAAATTCTAAACCCTAATGTTTTGAAAAGTTCAAAACTTGCCCTCAAGTTTTGGAATTTAAAAGTTAATTAAAAGTTTAATTTGGAAATGTTAAATTCTAAAACCCTCGTATTTTTTGAAAAAGTTCAAATTACACCCTTATGGTTTTATTAATTAATTAAAGTGTATAATTAAAAAGATTTAATAATTCCATAAAGTTTTGGTTTACATTTTGATTAAATTAAAAGTATAATTTATTAAATTGAACCACCTAGTTTTTTAAAAATGTAAATACACCCTATACTATATATATGGTAACATTAAAAGTCTAATATTATATATATGAGTAAAGAGTCAGTCTTACCGTTAGTAGGCCTCATTCACGAAGCTGGTCTATAAGGGGTGTTTAAGGAAATTGCCTATAAAATGGCGATTGAATGAGTATCCACTCTTACCCACCGCACTCTTGACTAGTGGAGGGTTGTTAGCCGAATGGGTAGGATAGGACGAAACCTTCCATTATAAGTACAATGAAGTACAAAGTAACTACATGCTTTTACAAATTCCCAAATCATAGTTACTTTAGGAAAAATGTGGAATTGTATGCTAATCCATGGAATTACACTTTGTACCCTTGTCGAAACGTTAGTGGAGCGTGTGTGGTTAACCGGCACACTAATTTGGGATTGACATTGGTGGCGAAGGGTAGCTCGATGTTTATCATAGATCAATGGAGCGTGTGTGGCTAACCGGCACATTGATTAGGTGATAGTAGCAATTGGGTGCACCACGTGATTCGTATGGTTATTCACACCTTGTTTGTGATCCTCGGCATCCCAGTCGCAAACTTAAAGGGCATAATCGAGATTAAACATGCCATTGAAAAGTTCAATGAATCTCAAAAGATCTAGGAGTTTCAATTCATTTAAAACTTAAACTTTTTTTTTGTTTTTCATGGTGGAATTGGTAAATCGTCATTTACCTACCTTCAAATATTCTGCAACTAGATTACGGCATCCCTCTTCTAGGTTGTAGAGTATTGTGTTGGATCCTAGCTTTGATGTTTCATTGGGGTGTTACATCAAGGATTCTTATCAACTAACTTGAATTTTCTCCCGTTTTGTAGATGTCTAAATCTTACAATGGTCTTCCCAAGTCCCTTGGAACAAGCTTTCCAAATGAAGATGACGTTCCACGATACGATCAAGGAAATGAGATTCATGCTTCTCTTCCTCCACCTCCTCCAATTATTCTCCCTAACCCACAAGTTCAAAGGCTTGAAAATTTCAAGCTCACTCAAGCCCTTTTGGCAAGTAAACACGAAGATGGGAAACATGTGTGTGCACACATCTTAGAGATGAAGTCACACATTGATAGGTTAAGGATGATGGGTGTCGATATCTCAGAAATGTTGGTTGTTAACTGTGTTGGATATAGTGTCTAAGTCCATAACTTTATTCGGTATGTACTTGACCCGACCCGGCATGGTCCATTTGGGTTGCATGGCATTGCAATACTTGGATAGACTAGATGAGAGAATAAGGCACTTATGATTATTAATATATTATAAGTTCTAATATATTAATAATAGTATTATTTAATTAGTATTGATCAAGTATTAATCTAGTATTAATTTGGTGATCAAAGTGAGACTAATTAAATATATAGGGTTGATTATGACAATCATCAATTCTTTTATGGTGGATTAATGATCCATGGTTTATGGGTTTGGTTATAACCATATGGAGCTCCATGGATAGTCCATGGGAGTTACAAACCCATGGGTCATGAGAAATCAAGAGTCATGACAATTAAGGGCATTCATGTGTAAACCCTAATTGTGACAACACTATAAAAGGAACCCTATGGCTAGCAAAATGGTGACCTAGTGTTACTAGAGAGGGCATAACCGATTTTGAGTGCTAGAAGTATTCTCTCAAGTTATTCCAAGTCTTGTGGTGTTGTGTGAACATTTGAGGCACAACATTTGGGGTGCTAGGCTCACAAAGTCTTGAAGGAATCCAAGCAACAACAAGGTATGTATTTCTACTAGTTTTATATTTTTATGTAATCCCCATGCCATGCTAGTTAGGAAATAACCTTGAAAAGGAAATTTGCATGTATATAGTGAAAACATAGATTCAAGGTTATTAGGGTTGCATGTACACATAGGAAGTGTTAGAATGCTCAAAACCCTTTAGTGGAATCAGAGCCTAGGATTGTTTTCTGTATACTTGATGCAAAACTGCTTAAAAATCGAAAATTCTGCACTCTGACGACTGGACTCGCCGAGTCCATGGGGAGGACTCGCCGAGTCCATGAACAAATTCATCCTACTCGACGAGTAGAATAATGCACTCGACGAGTAGGAGCGTGCTGGGTAGTTTTTTCGAGTTTTGTTGCTGGAAATGGATTAAGATCATTATCCCAATCTGTTTTGGACTTGTAAAATCTGTTTTTCAAAATGATAATGATTATGTTAACCCATTTTTGCATGACTTTTATCAATTTTCAAGTATTGTATATAGTTATATGATTTCTTGAAATTGCTTGACATGAATTTGTGTTCTTATGAGTTTTTAGAAGATCATAGGAATTATATGTAACCTCCATGTATGTTTAATTCATGATCTTAATGGCAATGATGGTGTCCATAACTTGTCCTCAAGTTATGGATAACCAAAAGTCACTTCTTTAAATTGTGATTAAAGAACTAAAGAAGTTTCATAAAATGAAGAGTCTTCATTTTATGAACCATTAAAACTCATAAGTTACAAATTGAAGAGACTTGGAATAGTTTCAATTCTTGCCCTCAAGTTTTGGAATTTGAAAAGTCTTACACTTAATACTTTAATTCCAAATTAAACCTTAGATTTTTAAAAAGTTTAAAAATCAACACTTATACTATTATTATAATTTTATTATATAGATATGTATAAGAATATGTCATTCTTACCGTTAGTAGGCCTCATTCACGAAGCCGGTCTATAAGGGGGATATAAGGTTGTTGCCTATAAAATGGTGACTTAATGGGTGTCCACTCTCACCCACCGCTTCCTTGATCGGTGGAGGGTCGTTAGCCGAACGGGTAGGATACGACTTTAAATACTCGTTAAAAGTATAATGAATTATAAAGTAACTATACATTATAAATTCCCAATCTTAGTTACTTTAGGAAAATGTGAAATTGGTGCTAGCCCATAAAATTACACTTTGTACCTTACCAAGTCGTTAGTGGAGCGTGTGTGGTTAACCGGCACACTAACATGGACTAGTAAGAGTGGCAAAGGGTAACTTGACCTTATTATAGATCGGTGGAGCGTGTGTGGTTAACCGGCACATCGATTAGGTAATATTGTTGAGGGTACCAAGTCAATTTGTATGGTTATTCACACCTTGTTTGTGATCCTCGGCATCCCAGTCACAAACTTGAGAGGGCACAATCGAGATTCAAAAATGCCATTGAAAAGTTCAATGTATCTCAAAAGATCTAGGAGTTTCAAAACCAATAAAACCTAAT